CCCCATTCCTTTCCAGTCCTAGCTAAACAGGACCAAATTACTTATTTAGAACACTACATCAGGAAAACCACTAAACAAACTGTTCTATCTCCGTCTGCAACAAGAGTGTGGGATGATAAACTATTGAGCTTGCTTCTCTCATCCTGGGCATTTCCCTCATCCCAAACTTGCAGAGACCACCCTTGCCTCAGGGAAGATTTGGGATCATCTGAAACTAGAAGCCACTCTAAGACTTTGCTGCCTTTTGTTTTCTGCTGCTGGTGTGGAACTTAAAGATATCCACCCAGACAAAATTAGGGCTGGGAAGGGAGGGGATGGCTTCATACAGGCCTAAGAGAAATCCTTTCTCACAGACATTTTCCAAGCCCAAGGAGATTTATTTCTTCTTGTTCAATATACCCGTGTTTTGCACATCTAGCAAGTATGAGCAGAGTTCGGTCACAAAGTTGAACTTCTTTTTAAGATTTATTTTATTTATTTGAAAGGGAGATGGAGAGGGAGGGAGGAGGAGGAGGGAGAGGGGGAGGGAGAGGGGGAGGGAGAAGGGCTTTCATCTGCTAATTTACTACGCAAATGGTTGCAATGGCTAGGACTGGGCCAGGCAGCTGCCAAGATCCAGGAATTTTATTCACGTCTCCCATGCAGGTGGCAGGGATCCAAGCACTTGGATCATCTGCTGCTGTTTTCCCAGGTGCATTAGAAAGGAGTTGGATGGGAAGTGGAGCAGCTGGGACTCAGGACAGTGCTCTGCACCACAATGCTGATCCCTTCAACATTCTTTAAAACTGCAAAAATTCAGACAAAATACTTTCGATAGAACACTTGCCCAGCAATGGCACCACTACTAAAAACATTTTTTTAGAGTATGACTGACTTTTTTTTTAAAAGACTTATTTTTATTTATTTGAAAGACAGAGTTAACAGAGAGAGGTAGAGACAGAGAGAGAGGTCTTCCATCTGCTGGTTCACTCCCCAGATGGCCACAACGCCCAGAGCTGCACTGATCTGAAGCCAGGAGCCAGGAGCTTCTTCCGGGTCTCCCATGTGGGTACAGGGGCCCAAGCACATGGGCCATCTTCTACTGCTTTCCCAGGCCACAGCAAAGAGCTGGCTTGGAAGAGGAGCAGCTGGGACTCGTACCGGAGTCCATATGGGATTCCGGTGCTTCAGGCTAGGGCTTTAACCTGCTGCGCCACAGTGCCAGCCCTATCACTAAAGAACTGATGCCAATTCTTTCCTTGGGTCTGTAAAACCAATGAATTTTGTATCCAAGTATCTTAAATGATTTTCCTTTTCACCTTTGAAAATGTCCCCTTGCCTCAACCTCCTTGAATACACATGTAGTTTGCTGTGGCACTTGTAGTATCTTTTCAGTGCTGTTCTATCCTCAAATAAATATAATTATCTGGAGAATAAATCTTATTTTTGATGAGTTTATTTATTTATTTGAGAGAGCGAGCGAGCTTCCATCCACTGATTCACTCTCCAGATACTCCTAGCAGTTGGGTCCGGGCCAGCTGAAACCAGAAGCCCAGAACTCTGTTTCCCACATGGGTGGCAGCTGCTCAAGTACTTGAGTCATCACCTTTTACCAGAATGCATGAGCAAGGAGTTGGATTGGAAGTGGAGTAGCTGATTTGGCATAAATTGGCAGGAACTTGGCTTAGTATTTCTGAGCTAGAAGCCACAAGCTTCCATGTGTAAGTCTGTCCTCCTACTTGTTGATCAAAATGCCCTCTTTCCTGGGATGCGTCTGCTTCATCCAGGACTTAAGAAGACTTCATGAACTGTGGACATTGAGCATCCCCTGCTGTGTACCAGGGTGTGCGTTACCAGGAAGCTGGAATCCGGAGCTGAGCAGGACTCAAACCCATGCCTTCTGCTGTGGGATGAAGGTGTCCAAGCAGCATGTTAACCACTAAGCCAAACACTTTCCCCGAGTGGATATTTGAGTAGAAATTTGTCCTTATTATTGATACTTTTAAATGAATACCTAAATTATATTTTGTTTTAGTTTTAAATAAATATACGTTCATGCTTATCGAAAATTATGACTAGTGCAACAAAGTTTTTCTAATGCTAACCAGTATTTTCTCCATTCCCACAAAACATACAAGCAAATTATTTGAGAGGAAGCTCTAAAAAATGACACCTATTTATAGTGAAGTATTTTAGAATATGATTTCTCAGAAGATAGTCTCTTACAAAACCACAATACAGTTAACAAAATCATGAAATCACAATTGACAAACCACTAACACCTAATATACAGATCTTTTGTAGATTTGGACAATTTTCTCAGTTACATGCTTTGCTGTTAAGAGGACATCCTGAATCCCAGGGTGCTCTCAGTTGTTGTGTATTTCCTAAGTCTCTTTTCATTCAAAACAGTTTCAGGGGGCCAGTGCTGTGGCATAGTGGGCAAAGCCACCACCTGCGGTGCTGGGATTCCATATGGGCACCTGTTTGTGTCCCGGCTGCTCCACTTCTGATCTAGTTCCCTGCTAATGCACCTGGGAAAGTCACAGAAGCTGACTCAAGTGCCTGGGCCCTGGTACTTCGTGGGGAAACCCAGAAGAAGCTCCTGGCTCCTGTCTTTGGCCTGGCTTAGCCTTGGATGTTGCGGCCATTTGGGGAGTGACCAGCAGATGGTCATGGAACATATCTCTCTTTCTCTGTTACTCTGCCTTTCAAATACATACATACATACATACATACATAAATCTTTTTTAAAAAGAAAAGAAGCAGCTTCATAATTTTTTTCTTTTTCTTTCTTTAACAATAGTGCCATTTTTTTGAAAAGTACTGACCAGAACCAGTTATTATGAAAAATGTCCTTTAATTTTTAAAAATGTTTTGCCATGATTAGATTTAGATTATTTATGCATTTTTGTTGGGAATGCCATAAAAGTGACATGCCTTTCTCTCAATGCGTTGTATTAGGAGGCACATAATATCAATTTGCTTGTTCATTAATTCAGTAGGAATCAGTTACATACAGTCAAGCAGTGAATTTCAATCAGATCTTTAATTCTTTCTAGATATTTAATTCTTCATAATTTCTCTGTAGCATAATGTAAATCTGCAGGTCCAATGCTATATCAGAGAGGAATTACAAGAAACATTATTCTACTATTAGTAAAATGGAGACACTATTGCCTTTTTATTATCAGATGTACTTCAATTATTTTCTTGCTCTCAAGTCTGTTATAAATTTACACAGAGAACTATATTGGAACTATCACTATCACTATGCATTATAAAGTTTTAGAGAGTGAGTGTGCAGAGAATGTAGTCTGCTAACCTTTTGTGATTTATCTCTGGCACTTGCAGAATAAATCTGTTCAGTTACTGGTATCAAGCAACATTTCTTTTCTTTTCTTTTTTTTTTTTTATTTGACAGATAGAGTTAGACAGTGAGAGAGAGAGAAAGGTCTTCCTTCTGTTGGTTCATTTCCCAAATGGCTGCTACGGCCTGAGCTACGCTGATTCGAAGCCAGGAGCCAGGTTCTTCCTCCTGGCTTCCCATGTGGAGCCTCTCCACAGCAGAGAGCTGCACTGGAAGAGGAGCAACCAGGACTAGAACCCAGCGCCCATATGGGATGCCGGCGCCGCAGGTGGAGGATTAACTTAGTGTGCCACGGCGCTGGCCCCTCAAGCAACATTTCTTTAATCTAATGGTGATATGACTGACATTGCTGTTTTGCATTGAGATTTTAGAATATAAACATGGAAACATTTTTGAAGATCTACTGTGGTTAGGCCTATTTATGTTTTTCCTTATTATGTTGTGATTCATGAATATGTATGAGGAATATTCAAAAAGCTCACAGAAAATGGCTACTATGAAAAAACCATATAAAAAAGAAAAACTGTGGATTTCAAAAAAAAAACTGGAACAAAATAAGCTTATCTTCAAAATATTTACTTGTTTATTTTTATTTATTTATTTATATGTCAGAATGAGAGGGAGAGAGACAGAGAGAGAGAGATCATCCATTTGGTTCACCACCCCAATGTTCCCAACGGCCAGGGCTGGGCCAAGCCAAAACCAGGAGGCTGGAACTCCACATGGGTCTTGAGGGTGGCAGGGACTCATGTTTTTGAGCCACAGCCTACTCTTTCCCAGGATGTGCAACAGCAGAGTAGCTGGGACTTGAACCAGGTGCTCTGGTATGGGATGCAGATGCTCCAAGCAGTGGCTTAACCTGCTGCACCACAATGGTCACTCCAGTAAGTTTACCTTTTAACTTCCTCTCTATGAACTTGCAGTATCCTCATAGAGTTTATTATCCCTCTCTTTTATTCTGACAAGAGAACTGAGATTCAAAGACACAGTCTTTGTTAAGATGACATAACCTGTAAATGAATAAGGAAGTATCCAAACTCAAGAATTTCTGTCTCCAATGTCTCTCTTAACTTTCTATCTTTATAATTGGCCTAATTAAAAATATTAAGATATCTATAAATTACCTCTGGGAACAATACATTTTTAAAAGATTTGTTTATTTATTTGAAAGCCAGAGTGACAGAAAGAGAGGGAGGGACACAGACAGAAAGGCAAATTTTATCCACTGGTTCACTCCCCCAAGCAGCTACAACATTTTTTGAGGCTGGGCCAGGCTGATGCTGGGAACTCCATACTGATCTCCCAGATAGGTGGCAGAGACCTAAGCACTTTGGTCTGTCTTCCTCTGCTTTCCCAGGCTCCTTAGCAGGGAGCTGTTTCAGAAGCAGAACAGTAGGGACTCCAACTGGCACTCTGATGTGACTTATTCCACTGTACCATGATGCTGGGCCCAGAATATATATATATATATATATATATATATATTTTTTTTTTTTTTTGCTATACTGATTTCACTGTAGTGACTTGTAATTGGCCCTTTAGATTTGCCGATACGAAGACATTTTCTCTTAATAAAGACATCTCCATAAAAATTGAGCTAATTTCTTAGTGGTTAATCTGTTCACATTTTCCTCTATTCTTTATATCAAAGCACGAACCTCCTGGTGTGAAAGATGACAAATAACGGATTAATGATGAAAACCTGGAAGCAGAAGCTGAGCCAAGAATCTCCAGAAACCAAAATGTGAGTTAAGAAAAATTATGTTGAAATTAGCAAGGCCTGCCTTCCTTCCTTCCTTTCTTTTTTTTCCCCTAGGAAATAAAAGGTCTGGGAATGCGTCTGTGTGGAAAGGCATGGTGGAAGTAGATTCATTTTAAGACTTTGTTACTCCTAGTACTACAGTTAATTTTGGAAATTCTACTGCATATCATAACACACTTAAGTGTACCCACATGCCACATTAAATGCATTATCTGTGTAATGAACAGGATGTAAATGTTTTTTATACCTTTGTTTTTGGAATTATTTAATTTGTGTCTAGCTCTAATTTCTAAAGAATCATTGTGATTCCTGGGGAATTATTTTCAAATAAGACAACTTAACTAACCTATGGCTCTCTCCCCAAGGCAGTGAAATGATTATTAGTATGAAACTTAATGATTAATAAAATAAACAGTATTCCTTTTATAGGCATTAGTTTTGTTTTGTGTTTTAAGCCAATAACTTCTGCTTTTTTTTCTTTTTTTTAACTTCTGCTTTTAAAATAGAACAATGATCTTTAAAAGCAGCTTTACTGAGATAACATTCATGTACCACATACCATACAACTTAATCACTTAAATTATACAATGTAATGGTTTTAGTGAATTCAAAGTTATATATGACCATCATAACAGTGAAGTTCAGAACGTTTCAACACATTAGAAAGAAATCCCATGTGCTTTAACTATTATCCCTCCCAGCCCTACAACTTCTCCGGTCCTAAACAACCACTAATTTACTTTCTGTCTTGATAGATATTTCTAGATATTTCATTTCAATAGAATAATATAGCATGTGGTCTTTTGTCCCTTTGTTTCACTAAGCATAATGTGTTCATGATTCATTCATATTATAGCATGTATCAGTAATTCTTATTATGGTTCATTGAATGAGTATATCACATTTTGTGGTTTTCCATTCATCAGTTGATGGACGTTTGGGTTGTTTCTTCCTTTTGATTATTGTGAAAAGTGCTGCAATAAATATATGTGGGAAACCTCTTAAATACCCATCTCCATTTTTTTTTTTTCTTTTGAGAGAGCTCTCATCCACTGTTTCACTCCCTAAAGACCCACTGAGGGCTGAAGCTGGGAGCTGGGAGCTCAGTCCAGGTCTGCCTTGTGGGTGGCAGGAAACCAGTTCCTTGAGCCATCACTGCTACCTCCCACGATCCATTACCAGGAGTCTGGAGTTAGGAGCCAGAACCAGATATTAAAACCCAGGCACTCAAATGGCCACAACAGCTGGAGCGGGGCCAATCTGAAACCAGGAGCCAAAAGCTTCTTCTGGGTCTCCCATGAGAGTACAGGGACCCAAGCATGTGGGCTATCTTCCACCACTTTCCTAGAGAGCTGGATCAGAAGAGGAGCAGCTGAGACATGAACTGGAGTCCATATGGAGTGCTGGTGCTGCAGGCAAAGGCTTAATCTACTGTGCCACGACGCCAACCTGTCTAGACTCTTTCCTAAAGTGACTACACAGTTTTACCTTCTTACTAGCAGTGTATCAGGGTTCTGATTTTACCACATCTTTGCACCACTTGCTCTGTTTGGGTTTTGTTTTGAACCTCCTAGTGTGTGTAAGGTGATATCTCATTTTGGTTTTGATTTGCATTTCTCTGATGATTAATGTTGTTGAGTAGCCTTTCAAGTACTTATTGGTCATTTAGACATCTTCCTTGGAGAAATTCTGTTTAGATCTTTTGCCCATTTTAAATTGTTTTCTATTTTTATTCAGTTGTAAATGTTCTTTGTATATTTGGTATTTTAAGTCCCTCATCAGATATATGGTTTGTAAATATTTTTTCCCATTCTGTGGGTTATCCTTTCATTTTCTCAAGTATATATTTTAAAACATGAAAGTTTCTAATTATGAGTCTACTTTATTTTTCCTTTTGTTGCTTATGCTGTTGATGTCTTATCCAAGAATCATTTGCTACATTGAAGCTCACAAGAGTTACTCTTTGAGTTCTTCTAATTATTTTATGGTGTTAGTGGTTATACTTAGTTCTTCGATCCATTTTGAGTTATTTTTGTATATAACATAAAGAAAGAATTTAGCATCATTCTTTCGTAAATGACTGTCCAGTAAACTCAGCATCATCTGTTGAAAAGAGTAAACGTTAAATGATCTTGGCACCCTTGATGAAAATTAGTTGACTTTGGCCGGCGCCGCGGCTCACTAGGCTAATCCTCCACCTTGCGGCGCCGGCACACCAGGTTCTAGTCCCGGTCGGGGCGCTGGATTCTGTCCCGGTTGCCCTTCTTCCAGGCCAGCTCTCTGCTGTGGCCAGGGAGTGCAGTGGAGGATGGCCCAAGTACTTGGGCCCTGCACCCCATGGGAGACCAGGAGAAGCACCTGGCTCCTGCCATCGGATCAGCGCGGTGCACCGGCCGCAGCGTGCCAGCCGTGGCGGCCATTAGAGGGTGAACCAACGGCAAAGGAAGACCTTTCTCTCTGTCTCTTTCTCTCACTGTCCACTCTGCCTGTCAAAAAAAAAAAAAAAATTAGTTGACTGTAGAGAGATAATTTTATCTATGGACTCTCAATTCTGTTCCATTTATCTATGTCTATCCTTTTGTCAGTGCAATACAGTGTTACCCACCACTGCTTGGTAAGAAGTTTTGAAATCAGGAAGTATGAGTCCTGGTTTGTTCCTCTTTTTCAGTATTTTTTGGTCTATGTTGGATTTAATAAAATTTAATACGAATTTCAGAGTCAGTTTGTCAGTTTCTATGAGAGGTCAGTTGGGATTCTTGCAGGGACTGTGCTGAAAATCTATAGATCAATTTTGGGAGTATTATCATCATAATACTGAATCCTCAAATCCATGGCCAGTCTTTTCCCATTTATTTAGATCTCCTTTAATTCCTTTCTGCAGTGTTTTATAATTTTTATAGTGATGCTTTGACTTCTTTTGAAAATTTATTCCTAAATATTTTATTATTTTTGATGTTATTTATAAATGTAATTATTTTATTATTTTCATTTTTGTATTGTTCATTGGTAGTGTACAGAAATACTATTGATTTTTGTATGTTGACTTGATATCCTGAAACATTTACGAACTAGTTTATGAATTCAAATAATTTTTTAGTGGATTCCTTAGTACTACTGATACATGGCATCATGTCATCTGTCAATAGAGATTTACATGTTTTTTTCTAGTCTAGATTTCTATTATTTATTTTTCTTAACTGAATGCCCTTGCTCAATCTCCATTACAGTGTTGTGTAGAAGTGGTGACAGTGGACATTTATGCATTGCTCATAATTGTCATAAAATAAAAATACTTATGAGGGTATGTCAAAAAACTTGTGAGAAAATGGAATAAAAAGATAACACATATTTTCTAACAACTTTTTGAAGATGCCTTGCATATGTTTTAATCTCTGACTCTAGTTCTCAACATAGAGCTCCTTGGACCTTGGTACTTTCTTGAATGAAAAGAGCACACTATAAGTTAAATGATAGTGTCTCCTGAAAAATCATGTTGAAATGTAATCCACTATGCAACAATATTAAGCAGTGTGGACCTTGAAGCCTTCATGAATGGAATTAGCACCTTTATAAAAATGATTGAGGTTGAAGGGTATATTTTCTTGCCCTTTTTATAAAAGATTTATTTATTTATTTATTTGAAAGATGGAGAGGGAGGAGAGACATATCTTCCAGCTGCTGGTTCACTCCCCACATAACAGCAGCAGTCAGGGTTGTGTCAGGCTAAAGCCAAGGGCCAAGAACTCCATCCAGATCTCCCACACTGGGGGCAAGGCCAAGCACTTGGGCTATCCTCCACTGCCTCCCCACTTGCATTAGCAGGAAGCTGGATCAGAATCCAAACAGCTGGGACTTGAACTGGCAAACTGATATGGGGTGCTGGCGTTGCAAGCATAGCTTAACCTGCTGCCTCCCAACACTGGCCCCACCCTGGTACTTTTACATCATCTAAGGACACATCATTTATCCTCTTGTTGCCTTCTGTCTCCTCCACCCTTTCTTATCCTTCCATTTTCTGTCACATGAGGCTGCAGCAAGAAGACTCTCAATGGGCACTTAATGCTGTTGTCTTCATCTTGGACTTCCCAGTCTCCAGAACTCAGAGAAATAAATTTTTATTCATTATAAATTATGAAGTCAGTGGTATTCTGTTCTAGTGGCACAAATGGACTAGATCTCCAACAGTGTGCCAAAAGAGAGGGAAAAGTATAGAACATAACATCAGTTCCCCATATTTTTTTTTTAAAGGACTTATTTATTTATTTTGAAACGTAGAGTTACAGAGAGACATAGAGACAGAGGGAGATATGTTCCATCCTGGTTCATTCCCCAAATGGCTGCAACAGTCGGGGTTGGGGCATTCCAAAGCCAGGAGCCAGGAGCTTCTTCCAGGTCTCCCATGTGGATGCAGGGGCCTAAGCACTTGGGCCATCTTCTACTGCTTTCCCAGGCCACAGCAGAGAGCTGGATCGAAAGTGGAGCAGCCAGGACTCGAACCGACACTCATGAGATGCCGGCACTGCAGGTGGCAGCTTTACCCACTGTGCCTCAGCGCTGGCCCCTCCATATTCTTTTAATTCTACCCATTACACCATTTCCTGTGCTTGTACTGGGAAAAAGGATAAGTGCAGGGCATTATTTCCTGGTAGCCTCACTATGTACTTTTTTTTTTTTTTTAAAGATTTTATCTATTTATTTGAGAGGTAGAGTTACAGACAGTGAGAGGGAGAGATAGAAAGGTCTTCCATCAGCTGATTCACTCCCCATAAGGCTACAATGGCGGGAGCTGCATCAATCCGAAGCCAGGAGCCAGGAGCTTCTTCCGGGTCTCCCATGTGGGGGCAGGGGCCCAAGAACTTAGGCCATCTTCCATTGCTTTCCCAGGCCATAGCAGAGAGCTCGATTGGAAGATGGGCAGCTGAGACTAGAACCGGAGCCCATATGGGATGCCGGCGCCGCAGACAGAGGATTAACTCACTGTGCCACAGTGCCGGCCCCATCACTGTGTACTCTTAACATGGCACTGTGCCTTGATATTTGATAGAATCTTTGCTTCAGGCAAAGAAATAGGGGTACTGCAGAAGATTGCTTGGTCATTGACTTGACAAAGGGTCTTATGGAAAACTATCATGAATTTTATGAATTTGTTTTAAATGTGTTAGTGTTTAATAATAGAATCACTGGATAACAATGCATAACACACTTTAATTTTTTAGTAATAAACAATTTTTGAGCTCCAAAGAATCTAGTAAGAGTAGAATATATGACAAGTTAAATCTTGAATTAGATTACATTGGGCCAGTCAGAGGCAGACATTTGCAGGAGTCCAAAGCCCACTAGAAGACAGGAATAGAGGCTTGAGTGCTGAGGATCTTCACAAAGATCCACAGTGCAGTCTGCAATGCTTGGGAATCCAAAGAAAACTTTTGCTTATTCATAAATTTGCCTACAGCTAACTCTTCCCTGTTGACATCAACCTTGGGCATCACTAATTTCTTGATTTTAAGACACATAAAAGTCAAATGTTATATTAGCTAATTAATTTTTAAATGACACCATTTATTACTTTGGGACACATTTTCAGATTGCATCATGCATGAAAACAAGCAATGGTAAGCATTTATCACTTTTAATGGTCCAAATGAATGCACCATGTACTACCCATACTGTTTCCCAGGGTTATTCCGTCATTAGGAATACAGGGATTCTAAGAACATTCACTCGGGTGAGTTTCTCATAGGGCTTTCTGTTGTGAAATGAGTCTTTAGAAATTCAGCAATCTCTGGAGATACTTTTAACACCTCAACTGTAGTAATAATTCTATGAGGCAGTGTTATTTTAGGGACTCTAAGTGCCTTCAGAATAAAAATAGAGGTGACATAGATCATAAGAGGTAACAAGTAACATCCAAAACTCTGTTTCTGAAGCCCCAAAGGCTCTTAGAACAGGTTGTCCAATATCTTGGGGGACAAAGAATTAAAGACCCAGATTCTGAATATTGTTGCCAGAATCCCAGCCTACAGGAAGATGGATGGAGTTAAAGATCACCACAGGAAACGTATATGGAAACATGGTGTTGTACATGTGTTGGAAGGAAAAAGAAAGGCTGTGGTGGAATGAGAAGGCCATGCCAAGATGGCTGCTGGCAAGCCAGCGTCAGTTACTCAGGAATGGCTTTGAAACGCACCTGGCAACAGAGCCTGCCTGGCAACAGGATATGATTGGATGGTTTTGGAAACCACATGGCAAACAGAGCCTGCCTGGCAACTGGCTGTGATTGGTTAGGGTATAAATCGCCCCTTCACTGGATTGGCTGTCTTGGCTATTTAAGCTGCTGTACCAACTGAAATAAATGAGTCTGCGGTCTGCTCACCTCTGGCCCGCTTTCACCGACTCCCTGGGTCTGTGTGGTGACTCTGCACCTCTTGCCCCCACCACGCTCCTCCTCTCAGGAACGAATCCTCTCAGAAGAAATCAACAGCAACAAAAGGCGAGAAGGAAGGACAAACCAATTCCAGATTTTGCTTGATTTCAAAGCTTGAACAGTGTTATTGAATAAGTTAGAGCCAAATGTTTGATCTCAAAACAGCAAATGTTCTTGAAGTCACTTGGAGCAGTGCATTAGCATCAAGAACAGGGCACATGGGCTCCTCAACTGCTGCAGCCTCTGAATGCTGCGTTCTTGTTATCCAGATCTGAGTGCTCAGGGAGTCTTTGTGCATCACATGCAGGTCTAGGGTGGACTTCGTGCTGAGCACTATTCCATTTCCCACTGCCAGGCTCATTTCAGTCCATCATCCCTGTTTGGTTTCTCTTGAATTTTTTTCCAGGGGATGAAAAAAACAAAACAAAACCTGATGCCTCTAACTTGATATCTATTCTCTTTGTTTCTCTTTGTTAAGGTCAAATGCAGCAGGGGAACTCTGATCCCTTTTAAAAGTCATACACCTTCTCCTCTCTCAACCCTGTCTTCCCTCTGTGTCATCCCGAAGTGCTGAAGATAAATTTGAATGGTGGAGGATCCTACTTCAACATTGACCCATGGAGGGTCTTCTCCTTTTAGATTTGGAGTGAGATCAATAGAGGGCTCTGGAAGGTCAGTGTCTCTATTGATAGAAACTGTGGGAGGAGGAAGTTCTTTCCAAAAATAACAAAGCAGCAACAAGTGGGGGATACATATTTTCCCATTCTGTGGTGTCAGTAAGTTAGAGTATTCTTGTGATTTACAGATGACAGAACTGAGTCTCAAGGAGGTTGAGAAACTTGCCTGAGGTCTCAAAGTGACACAACTTGAGCTTGTTGGCTGGATTATAGCTCCTTTCAAGAGTATCTGACTACTGCTTACCATTTTATTATTTTATGTTTTGTACTTTAAAAAATGCTGTAACCAAGGGAATTTCCTCACTTTCATGTGTGAAGTTAGTCTGATTCAAGTCAGAGGAATGAAGTCTTGAGAAAATTTTCCAATAGAGAAAGAAGAGAGAAAAGAGAAGAAAAATGATATATTCAATATTATATATCAAAGATTTATTTACAATCAAGAATCATTAGAAGCCACATGCTTATTTTATTGAATATAGATTCAATATAAAGGTCTGTAGGAACTTACTGAAAGAAAGCTATTGTCTGTCACTGGACTGGAAAATAGCTTTAATATAAAGAGTAGGTGTCTTTGTGTAATATTTCCTTTGCTCTTTTATTTGTCAAATATACCTAAATAAAACCTTTCTAGTAAATGGCTTGCATAGAGTAGAGTATAACAAGTAATGATGCCAGAACACCCCCCACGAAGAGTTCAGGAAGGCTGCATATGCAGTTTGCCTCTCTTCTTTTCTACAACCCTCTTGTTTCTGAATTCTCTTCCAGAGGGGTAGAACCAATTATAAGTTCTCATGTATGGTGTATATGCATACCAGGTTCTTCACTTCTTGACAATACTGGGTACTATTAATCTATTCAAATTTGATATTGTAATATGGTAAAATAAAATCCCATTTTGTTTTTCAGTTTCCTAATTAATGAGATTGACTTCACTTTCTTAAAATATTAATAATCACCTATAAGTGGTTGAATGCATATACTATGACAATTATGTGCTAAATTCCTTTTGTGGATTTTCTCCTGTACGCTGATAGCATTCCTAGGTAATAGGCTATCTCATTGTCTTCATTCTATAGATAAAACTAAGGCATGGAGTCGTCAGTGATTTGTCCAAGATCACACAGCTAGAAAGTGACTGCCTGGATTTGAATGTAGACAGTCTTAGAGTTCCTTGCTCTTAAGACCTGTGAATTATGCTACCTTTCCCCTTGTGCCTAATATCCACTTGATTTCTTCTTCTGTGAATGACCTATTCTTATTTTTTGTTCTTTAGAGTATTTAGATAGCACCTTGATGCAATTTTATTACTTGAATCTGATTAATGCTTTTTGATTGTGTCTTCAATACCTTGGATTTATAGCAGAACAACAGACTGATTTATAGATCATGAAATGATTTTTAGTAAATTTTAGAAATTCTCAGGCTCATTTATACAATTAATTAGGTAATGAACTATTAAGAAATATTTTATATATTTTATATTTTGATGGTGGAGAGACTTCTGGATCTTCATTCTCAATTTTCCTAATGTGTTAAAATGAATATTTAGTAGTTAGGCCCACTTAAAATATTCTTAAACACTTCTAAAAAACAACCTATAATTTTGTTTTTTTCCAAGAGGATGTAGTTGCTAAGAATATGTTAATCTTGGAGAATGTTGCATAATTTTGGCTGGCAGAAACTATTTTTACTAATCAAGTTAAAAATTGCTAAGAGAAGTTTCCAAGCAAAATTCTCAATTTAAGATGTTGACTTCCTTTTTCTTGTTGACATAAGAAAGGTCATTGCTTCCAGTTAATACGATCTGGTTAGTTCTACATAAGTGAATGCTACAGATCACTCCAGCTCTCCTTTTCTCTTCACTTTCTTGGATTGATTTTTTTCATTGGTTAATAGAATTTTTGTCTTTCAGTTACTTTAATTGTTTAAGAATTGGTTTTTAAAATTGTATAGAAAAATTCCCAGTCAGAATATACACACACATATACAAGGACACACACATGTGCATGCACAACCTTGTATTTAAAGCCAAATGAATATTTAAAATGTTATTTTTGGAGTTTAGAATTATTACGCATGCTATGAAATTGGAAAGAAGTAGGAGGAAACCATTGCTAAAGTAGTGGTTGATCATGAACATTACTTTGGAAATGCTTAGTCAATATCAGAGCTCTGGTGCTTATAAAGTCTTCACTAGGAATATGGGTGAAAGACCACAAAATACTTGCTTGACTGACATTGGCTAACTGAACTTTGGCCCAGGCTAACGGACCTCATTCATCAGAGTGGCTACTTAGAGAAACTCTCACAGGCTTATGTTTCTGCCTTACTTTTGTGTACTCTGGTCTAGGATATTCTCTCTCCTGTGTCTTACCTTTCCTTTGCTTAAAATTGTTATCTCCTTTGTTCATTATCGTGCAGCTTTTAAATGTAGGTTCTATGGAGAGACAGGAGAGAGATGAAAGAGAAGTGGGGGATGAGTAAACCTTTAAGCTGCCGAGGCAATGGCTTCCTTTCCTGCCCTTGTCTTCTCTCATCCTTGGGGTAGTCTTGGAGTATTTCCCTTCACCTCTCTGTAGCTATCCCCTTTTCCCACTCAGCTTCCTACCTAGAGACTATGACTAACGGGAGCTTCTGAAATGCTTGGTGATTCTTCTGAATACGAAGCAGATTTCACTGTAAAAGCTTTCATTATCACCTATGTAATCATTATCTTTGCGTCTAGAGGTGAAACAGTAGAATGGGAATTTGGAAAAAAAAAAGCCTAGGTATGTGTAAGCCATCTTGTAAATTACATTTTATGATTAATTAATAAAAATAAGAAAAATCACAAAAATGCTCCATGCTTGCAATAAAACTAGAATAAGGAAATAATTGTTGGATTACTTATTTTGTCATTTAGCCAAAGAAAAGCCCTAGATAGAAGCAAAATGTGGCATTGAAAGGAGAAGTAGCTTGGTCAATTCTTGAGGCTTTCCAAAGAGAAGAGAGAAGTGACAGGGCACTTGCCAAGATTATGGCCTTTTAAAATTAGCATTCCCAGGAGCCCCTAGCTCCAGTTTCTAAGATCCTCATCAAGTCACTGTCTGCTGAGCCCTTCGTTGGCCCGTGAGAACTGCATCTGCAACTTGGATCTGGGGATGGCAGAAGAAGGTCACAGGGACCACACTGATGAATGGTGGCTGGTTTTACTGTGTTGCTGTGTGTCATTTGGACAACATGATGCTTATTTATTCTTTTTTAGCATATGAAAGATTTTAGATATAGATATATAACCCTGTTCCCACTGTGCTCTGTTACCAAATGAATATCCAGCAGCTTCAGTTACTTAACGTTGTCTGCCTAATCCTGAAGACATTTACGATCTTGACTATAATTCCATAGTTAGAAATGGAGAATGGAAAGTGTTTTTACTGCCTCCTGGGCTTAGGTATGGTGAAGACTTTTACGGTTGTATCTTGGGGAAAACAAGGGAGGGCTACTCTGATTTCCCACAAGTGTTTTGTTTGCTTTCATTTTGGTTTTATTTTCATTTTGTCTTATTAAAACATCATTCCTAAAAAAAAAAATCATTCCTAAAGCTACCTCCATGGACCACTTTCTCCACCATAGTCTGCCTCCTTTCACACACAAGCTACTATTTCAGTGTTCATGCTGAAATGCTGAATGCAATTCCTTCTATCGGAAATTATCGACAACAAAAAATACAACAATACAGATTCTGAGACATCTACACATGTATCGACCTTCATAGATTTTTTTTCCTCCAGCAAAAAATAGTTCAACTGACAAGATAAGGATGAACCTAGAAGACTTCATACGTAGTAAAATAAATCAGACACAGAAAGATAAAATACTCCATGATTTCACTTACATATGGAATTTTAAGAAGTTGAACTTTAGAAGTAGAAACAGAGAATAGAATAGTGGTTACTAGATGCCAGAGGGGAGGGAAATGGGGAGACTTTGTTCAAAGTATAGAGGCTTTCACTTATAAGATAAGCAGGTTTTGGAGATCTAATGTATAGCATGGGGCTATAGTTAACAACAATACGTTGTACACTTGAAATTTGCTAAGAGATCAGACTATTATATAATTTTTATTGGGAATATAAATTAAATTAGTACTGCCACTATGGAAAACAGAATAGATACTTAAAAAACGAAAGCTAGAACTGCCATATGATACACCAATCCTATTATTAGTTATATATATTTATATATATATATATCCAAAACAAATTAAATCATTATATCAAAGAGAACCTGTCATGTTTATGGCAATACTGCTCACAGTCACCAAGATATGGAATCAACTAAGGTGTTGGTCCAGAGATGAATGGATAAAGAAAGATGACATACATACATAATAGAATACTCTTTGGTCATAAAATGGGTGAAATCATGACATTTGCAATGAAATGGTTGGAAGTGGAGGACAGTTAAGTTATTCCAGATACAGAAAGACAAATACTACATTTCTGTTTCTTAGGTAGAAGCTTAGAAAAGTGGATCTGAACATGGAATAGTGAATATTAGAGTTTGGGAAGAGGGTGAGGGGAGATAGTGAGGGATTGGTTGATGGATACCAAATCAGATTAGATAGAAGGAATACTTTCCCAGGTCACACAACATGGTGAACCTCATACTTCTTTGAGGTAAGTATAGTTCACAATAACCTATTATATATTTTCTGAGCAAATAGAAGAGAGGAGCTGAAAGCCATAAATTATAGAGCAATGACAAGGAAAAGGAAACATTATTCCCTGATTTGACCAGTTCACATTTACTAAATTGTCACTCTGTGCCTGAAAATAAGTACAACTATTGTTAATTAAAAAATTTTAAAAGACAAAAATTTACTGAGAGTTTATCTTAAGTGTTCTCACCACACACAAAATAGTGGTAACTATGTGAGTTGATGGATATGTTAGCTTGATGTGATAATCAAAACAGCATATTGTTTCTTAAATATGTACAATTTTTATTTGTCAATTATATTTTAATACAGCAGGGGAAAATCAATTTCTTTTTTTAATAGAAAATTTTTATTTAATAAATATAAATTTCAAAAGTACAACTTTTGGATTATAACGGTTCTTCCCCCCATAATCACCCTCCTACCCACAAACTATCCCATCTCCTACTCCCTCTCCCATTCCATTCTTCATTAAGATTCATTTTTAATTAGATTTATATACAGAAGATCAACTCTATACTGAGTAAAGATTTCAACAGTTTGCACCCACACAGACACATAAAGTATAAAGTACTGTTTGAAGAGTAGTTTTACTGTTAATTCTCATAGTACAACACATTAAGGGCAGAGGTCCTACATGGGGAGCAAGCGCACAGTGACTCCAGTTGTTAAATCAACCAATTTCTTATTTGAGGTGAAAATGAATTAATTGAGGAAATAGAGTGATTTGTTGTAGCCGCAAATAATATCTGATAGATTTCAGTAACAACTGAGACATGAGCTGACAGAAGAGTTTAGTTTCTGAAGATTATCAACTCTTGGTGAGAATGACTGTTCAAACAAGGAAATTAGTTTGCATTTGTTTACCTCTTTCCATGTCAACTGGGATTAAGTTTGGCATTTTCTCCCTTTAACTATGATAGCTTTAAACAGAAAAAGCAAAGCAAAGAAACAATAAAACTTGTGGTAGAGAATATCCTTGGAAGTTGATACCATCCACTGACATCCTGTGCAATTTGAAGGAAATGTTTTAATTGGGTGAAAAATCAATTTACTATGCATTAAGAAACTGTTTCAGATATTGTATCATTAAGTAATAGCAGTTACTGATTTTTCTTAACCACAGTGGGAAATATGAAGAAGAAATTGGAGTACAGGGGACATTGCTCAGTGATTTGGTTGACCTGTACAACCTGCTGTGGAGTTGGAAAAATTCTGTTTAGCTCATCTTTACCGTTCTTTTAGGGATTTCAGAGGCCCTCATCAGTAGGAAGAAGGAAGAAGTTATAAATAGGACAAACTAGAACAGGAAAAAAGGACTTCTTTTTTGGATGATGAACCTCAGACTTCTTTGAGGTAATAATTCTTGGAGACTTCGATGAACATATGATAAAAACTAAACATACATAAAATTAATGTTGGGAGTTCATAGATTGCTGAGAATCATCCATGGACCATCAAATATTCTGAGGACCTAGCAAGTTGGGTGATCAGCAATCTTACACCCAGCCACACTTTGGCTCAATAGTAGTCAAGACCGGAAGGTAGTAGACAACAGCCAGAATGTAGGCTGTGCTGGGGTCAGTGCTGTGGCATAGCAGGTTAAACCTCTGCCTGTGGCACCAGCATCCCATATGGGCGCTGGTTCCTGTCCCAACTGCTCTACTTCTGATCCAGCATCCCTACTGATGCCTTGGGAAGACAGTGGAAGATGGCTCAAGTGCTTGGGCCCTTACATCCACATGGGAGCCTGGATGAAGCTCCTGGCTCCTGGCTTCAGAGTGGTCCAGGTCTTGCCATTGCGGCCATTTGGGGAGTGAACCAGAGGTTGGAAGACCTCTCTTTCTGTCTCTCCCTCTGTCTGTAAAACTGAATCCAAGTTGGCATCCAGAAATAAAATGCATGAGAACCTTAAAGTCTTCTTCACATCTTAGATACATTCATCTATAGTCTCTGAAACTCTTTACCTACAGGTTTCAGTTCAGAAATTACTGAGACAAGTAGGACTGTGGTATGAAGAGCTCAAATAATCTCCCTGATGCTCTTAAATTTATTTTGTTCCTAAAAGTACAGTGTTTTGTAGGCATAAGCTATTAGTTGCAGTTGGCTCTCCAGGTAGTTCATAGTCTCCAGATCTCTGTGTTATCCTGGGCTAAAAGGATTGCCTCAATTTCTTTCTTAGTATTCTAGTCTACTATTTGAATTATCTTGTTTTTTGTTTTTGTTTGTTTGTTTTGACAGGCAGAGTGGACAGTGAGAGAGAGAGACAGAGATAAAGGTCTTCCTTTTGCCGTTGGTTCAACCTCCAATGGCCCCCGCGGCTGGCATGCTGTGGCCCGCGCACCATGCTGATCCGATGGCAGGAGCCAGGTACTTCTCCTGGTCTCCCATGGGGTGCAGGGCCCATGTACTTGGGCCATCCTCCACTGCACTCCCGGGCCACAGCAGAGAGCTGGCCTGGAAGAGGGGCAACCGGGACAGAACCCAGCGCCCCGACCGGGACTAGAACCCGGTGTGCCGGCGCCGCAAGGCAGAGGATTAGCCTAGTGAGCCGCAGTGCCGGCCACAGCCCCTTCTAATATGCTGCTTCCTTGCAGACTCTAAGTATCAAACTGATTCATAAGCATGGTCCTTTTTTTTTCTCATCCAAGTCAGTGATTAAGGCTATGCTTTAAGGAGAAAATATTTATTATTTGGTATCTCCACCCCCCCCCCCTTAATGGCTTGCATCATCAGACTCACCCCCCTGAGCACAATCTGACTCAGCGTGTCATCCCGCTTATCTACACTGCTGCATTTCAGCCCTGTTCAGTCATGCACTTAAGTTCAAGCAACATGCTGACAGTTTCCTGTTCATTTAAATAACATCTGTGAGATTTGCATGGATTAACATTCAGATGACTGAAATCTAGCTTTTGTTCCGATAAAGAGGTGAAGACTGGTTCATTTTAGCAATGGGCAGGCACTAGAGAAGATTCACATCTCTTTGTTGGACTAAATCATTGTCCATTAGTTTACCAAAGACTTTCCATCTAGTCTGCCAGGGTGCTGGTACGTTTATGAAGCAGACATCACTGCACATATAAATAATAGTATGTTACCTATTACTGGGAGGTCACACTCAATTGATTAAAAACCCCATTGTGAACTTCCTCTCCTCACTGTGCTGGTAGATCTATTTTTGAAATCTTTAGATATGCCCAAACTTGCCCTTACCATTGCTTACTTAATTCTTTAGGAGAGGAATGGGATACAAAAGGTTGTGGATGTTGGAATGACAATCATCTCTAAGAGATTGATTCTGGTCAATTAGGTCACTACTACATGTTCTATGACCTAAAGGAGAGTGAGTATGGTGGAGAAGATATGGTGGAGTGAAGGTGCACAACATAGGAGTGCCTAGAAATGTATTCTGTTGTGGGAGCTGCTGACATTTTCTACATGCTGAAATAGAGACAGCCTACACAGAGATGCCCTTCTGCACAGTCTTGACCTGAATCTGCTGAGAATGCTGGGAGGGGTTAGGGAATGTTTGACTACACACTTCAGTGACACTGTGCTACTGGGAACAGAACAATTCCTAAAAATATAAGCAGCATTCATATTTAGAGAAGAGAGTATGACATGGCACGTGTTTTGGCCATTCTGAAGACTTCAGAGGAATTTTCTTTGTTTAAGATGTTATAAAACACTCATGACCTTGGAGTACCCTTTCTTAGTGATCCAGTCTGATCTCTCTTCAATCTTAATTTTATGCTGGCATTGCCTTTGGTGAACAGGTGCCTTTAAATAAAGAAACATATGGTTTTAATGTGGCTTCATGAACTGGGAGTCATATTCCCACGGATAAAATTGTACTTCAAGCAAAGTGCAGGCTGTCTACCTCAGAGCATTTTAATCATTAACTGCAACTGAATACCTGGCCCTGTTGGTGGTAATTCGAAAGAAGAAACCCTTCCTTTTTAAGTACTATATTAATTATGAAAGCCAAAAATCCTAGTTATATTTAGAAAATAAATCTTTAATTTAAAAGAATAGGATGATCTTGTTTCATACCTTATTAGCATAGATAGAAATCAATATTTGTGTATTAGATTGATATACTGAACAGAATTAAGCTTTTAAACAGCTTGCCTTTGCTGAGCAGAGTGGAAGATCCTGTTGAGTAATACATATTTCACTTCCTTCCCTTTATAATGCTTCTCCCATGTGTTCCATGGAGAGGATCAGTGCCAGCTGTTGAGAGATGATGTGAACAACACTTTGCCTTTGCTTTCTTCCTTCTTTAAGTTGCAGGAACTGAAGAGGATGATTCTTGAGGGGGTAGTGTGGAGGCAGTAGAGAGGAATCACTCCTGGGTAGAATGGGTTGGGATCTTGGGAACAGCTCTGGCACCAAAATATGGCCCTGAACAAATCAAATTATGCACTGGGCATCTTCTCCATCATCTGTGTTATTAATGTATTGCTCTTTGGCCTCAAAGTGGTTTTTTTTTTTTCCAGCTTAAATTTGTGCCTGTAGATCTCCTTTTTGCCCCAAGGATTTTCATCTGAACTTTGGAAGCAAGCTTCATGCACAGAAGTTATACTTCACCTTCTCCGATGATTCTTTCCTGTTACACAATGCTATGTGGATCAAAATACTGCAATGTCTGAAATCCTGGAGTTAATTTTTTTCTCCTGATCTTTTTCCCCCTGCTAAAATGAGAGGTACACCTGTCTTAGGTCGCTTAGGAGACCTTTCAGAAGACTGAAATTTCTTTTGTTCTGAAAGTCTTCATTCAGTGAAACATATGAACAAACCCAGTGTTCCTACACATGTAATCCATTAATGAACCTTAGAGTCTGACTGTACTAAATTAATAAATTTTCAGCTTTATTGATTATCTTCCCTATTCTGCTTTAATGTTGCTGCTCTGGAGTTATTGACATGAAAACCAGAAAAGTTGCTTTCAGATTTTCACCTGGATGCATTAAGAACAAATCACATCACTTATTAGTCATGACAATACTTTGAACAATGCCTAGGATGTTGTAAATGTTGAATAAGTATAGTTATGATTCTTTTTCTGATTCTGAGGCTTTTACAAACTTTAATGCTTGGTCAGGCAAGTGTGCCATTATTTTGGTTTTCAAAAATTATTGGCATCATCACTGAATATTCTTACTGATGACCTTTAGATTACATTTATCAAGACCCAAAGGAGGAACAGAAGAATACTCCTGCCATTTTTATAGACTAGATTTTCTCACTGTTTAAATTACTGAGACAAATCAATACAAAACTTAGTGGTTTCAAAGAAGAAAAGTTGATTGTTTCACATAATTTTGTGGGTTGATTGGGCTCCGTTTTGCAGCTCTTCAGCTCCATCTAGTGAAGGCTGAGATTGCTCATGTGGTTGTATCCAACCAGGAGCTGTGTCAAAGCGGGGCTAGAGTCCAAGGATGTCTCTCACAGTTTTGGAGCCTTATTGCTCTCTGTTGCTAGAACATTGTTATAACTGATTTTGTTCCCCCAGAATTCATCACATGAAATCCCAACACCCAATGTGATAGTATTAGGAGACAGGACTTTTGAGATGAAATTAGGTTGGGCTCTTTTGGGTAGGATCAGTGCCTGTGAAAAGAGACAGCTGTGGCATAGTGGGTAAAGCTGCCACCTGCGGTGCTGGCATCCCATGTGGGCGCTGGTTCGAGTCCCGGCACTTCCACTTCCAATCCAGCTCTCTGCTAATGTGCTTGACAGGGCCCCTGCACCCACATGGGAGATCCAAAGAAGCTCTGAGCTCCTGGCTTCGGCCTGGCAGAGCCCTGGCTGTTGTGGCCATTTTGGGAAGTGAACCAGCAGATGGAAGGCTTCTCTGTCTCTGCCTTTGCCTCTCCTTCTCTGTAACTCTGACTTTCAAATAAATAAATAAAAATTAGAGAGAGAGAGAAAAAAAGAAGAGACAGAAGAGAGCTTTCTCGTTCTCTTTCCATCATGTAGGGATCCAACAAAAGACTCTGAAACATGGAAAAGTCCCCCATTAGAACCTAACCATACTTGCACCCTGATCTAGCTTCCCGACTTACAAGAAATAAATAACTGCTTTTATAGCAATCTCAGCTAAGAGAGATGCTTCAGTTCTTCCTCTTTTGGCCTTTTTCTCCAGCTAGATAACTTGAACTTCTTTCTAGCACAGCTGAGTGCAAAAGAAGATGTTACAGTTTTTTAAAGTGAGAACTCAGGCTGCACAGCGTGGTGTCTCCCACATTCTAGTGGTCAAATCAAGTCACACGTTTAGCCTACTGTTAGGGGGAGGAGAAACAAATTCTACCTGTTGATGGAAAGAAGAAAAACACATCCAGAGAAGAGAGAAGTTGAAGGTGGCTCTCTATGGAGACTGCCTACCATAGTCATGTGGGTTTGTATCCTAATGTCTGGTGATACGTTGGTATCACTATTGGTCACAAGGAACAAGATGGAGAAGACAAGCTGGAACTCATAGAAATCTCAGCTGCTCTCTGTCATGGCAAATAGCTACAGGGTATCTTCAAAAATTTCACAGAACAAGAAGAAAAGTTTATTTTTGTATTTAAAGTTTGGGTATTCATACAAATAGAGTTTTCAAAAGTTTATGAAAACATATATTATGAAAGAAACAATCACGGATCTCATTTCTTGCACCAAAAACATATCTTTTAAGTCCATTTTTTATGAGCTTTTTGAAGTACATTCACATTAACAGTATCACAGAACAATAGCTGTTGATTTGCTTCCAACTCCAAAATTTCATAAAGTCACTTTTTTGGCCAATTAAAACTTAGACTCATACAGAGAAGGGGGTCCAGGAATGTAGCTCTAGCTTTCCCAAGTTGAAAATAGAATAGTCCAGCATACTATTCCAGAGTACCCACATGGTGTATTTCTCCTCTCATTCAAGCCCATTTTCATTACCAGTTAGTGACATTTTAGAGTTTTCTTCATGTAACTCTCTTCATTTTATTCATATGCATTTTTGAATAGTAATTTTGGTACCATTTTGCTGGAATATTATGAAATAATACAAAATAGTTCTTGATAAAACCAGGATGTGGCAGGTAAAGTGAGTGAGTGGTAAAGCCACAGATGAGTCAGTCTCTTACTCTGAAATCTACAAAATCAAGAAACTGATGACAATTATTTTTCTAGATAAATTTGTTGATATATTACCCAAAAGTTTATCTGCAACAATCAGGTACTTTTATGTCTCTTACTGAATATTCATGTTTATTATTTTGATTTCACAGTGTTCTTAATAAAAAAAACTTTTCAAATAAGACAGGAGGGATACAGTTAAATGTGGTGACATAAGAGTGTCTTTTCATTACACATCCATAGTGTTCTTTATTTGTATGCTAGAGAAATCCAACAAGATGTATAAATTGCCCCTTGATTCTTGTAGATGTGTTTTCACATGTGGGAGACTGTCCATTTGGGATTGGAGGTACCATGTGAATCGTTACATACTGTTTTTGAGGGGAGGGATCTCCATTCCTAGATGCATAGAATGGATATGTGCCAGATGTCTTGTGTTTGCAGAGATGCAGGTCAGTAATATCTGCTATCGTATAGAGACCAGGCAGCATAGTGCTATTCACAAGGAGTTTTACATTCAAATGGATGTTCCATCATCTAGAAATATTTCTACACAAGTCTTATTGCCTTTGTGAATGATTTTTTCATGATTCTCCGTTGCATGTTATATCATACAGTCATTTCAAGGTGTAAATATATAACTGGGCATGTTATTGAAATAATTCCCATAGCCTTTCCATTGATTCAGTTGTATTTTCTAGGCAGACAATTGTGTAGGATTAGAGATTTTCACTTTCTTCTTTCCAAAATTTAATACTTTTACATTTTTCTAAGAACAGATAATATTGGTTGGCTTTGGCAAGGAGGCTTTCTGCTTGAGATATATACTTCATAAGGGTCTATCTCAGGTACACATACAAATAAATGTATTTTTTAAAGGTTTATTTTATTTATTTGAAAGAGCTATATATAGAGAGAGAGCCAGAGAGAGGAAGGTCTTCCATCTGCTGGTTCACTCCCTAAATGGCTGCAGGGGCCAGAGCTGAGCTGATCTGAAGCCAGGAGCCAGGAGCCAGGAGCTTCTTCCAGGTCTCCCAGGTGGGTGCAGGGGCCCAAGGACTTGGGCAATCTTCTACTGCTTTCCCAGGCCATAGCAGAGAGCTGGACTGGAAGAATAGCAGCTGGGACTCAAACTGGTACCCTTATAGGATCCCGGTACCACAGGCCAGGGTTTTAACCCACTACACTACAGTGTCAGCCCCCAAATAAATGCATTAAAGAGTTTATGAGTGTCGCTACCACTAGAGATTCTATACTCAATGCTGATATAATATGATCTGTAAATTTAATTGTCTATTTTTCTAACATCAATCATTTCTCCAGAGAAATTTTTCTCCCTGAGTCCTGCCTGATGTTCCTGAAACAGAAGTCAATAAAAATTGTGCTACTGTAAAGATTTGGGGGCTACGCTACTGCTGACACTGGTTTGGAATAAAGTGAGACCTTGAACAATGTAAGTCCTTGGTCACAGACAAGCCACACTAACTTGAAAAATATTTCCTGTCGTTATAACAAAGATGTAATAGAGTGTTGTGTACAATGTTTTATCAGGGTACTGAGCTGCCATTTTCTTGATCCTTCTTCATGTTTTGGAGGGAGTTATGAATTAGCACAGTGTTTGTCACGGTTCCACATGGCAACTGGGGACTATTTCATGATATTAAATAATCATACTCTAAAGTTCCTATACATATAAATCTAGATATGACATATGAAAGTAAATATGAATTTTTACATCTGACTTTGCATTAAGTGTGGTGAAAATTGCAATGTTACAAATTGCGATAATGAAAATGAACATTTCACAATATTTTCTATGATAATTTTCATACATGATGCATTATAATATTTGAACATAATATGCAGAATTAATGGGTATTTCTAAATCCAAATATGCCTTTAAGATTTTTATTGACACTTCCATTTTTACTGTCATAGCACAATGAAGTTTTTCCAAATAAAATTGTTAAAAAATGTTCCAAGATTTACAATGGCTAGAGGAAGATTGTCTAATTTGCTGTTACTGTCAATGGAATACAAATTATGTGAAACTCTTCAGCAGAGTAATGTAATAAGTAACTTCATTGAAATCAATGAAGAGAATAAAGGTATGGAATGAATCTATAGTAATTTATAAATTACATACATTTTTAATTTATTTTCATTCAAATACTTCCAACCCACCAACAGATTTCTAGGAGAGAGAGCTGGTAGATAGGAAGAATCAAGAAACAGCTTCTAGAATGTAGACACACCTGTGAGTCACCTGTTAGTCACCTTCAATGTAAGAATTGCAACACTGCATTGGAAGCACCCTAGCAGAGTGACCACACTCACTTGGAAAGGTATATTTGTCAAGCTATGAGATCGGACAGGTTTTAACTAGCTGCTTTTTAGCTTGATTTGCACCTTCTAATTATTTAGGCATATGATACATAGACCTCATTTTATATTCTGGTTCCAGAACCCACAGAATTTAGAGGACAACTTTGACAGAGTTAAATTAATTAAAATTGTGATAGTTAAATCTCTGTCTTGGTCCTTAACTTGATACAAAGGCTTTCATTGTTCTGTGAATTTTCTGTTCGTGCTGATTGTTTTGCTACTTCAATTTGTTTTGTAATTATTTATTTTAGTCTGTAAGAAGCTGACTTGCCCCAAATGGTAGAGTTAGAAACATACCAGGGGATTCCAATTCAATCCCATCAAGGTGGCATGTACCAATGCCATCTCACTATTCCAAGTGATCAATTTCAGTTCACAATTGATCATAATGAAAGGACTAAGAGTCAAAGGGAGCACATAAACAAGTCTAGTACCTGCTAACACTAACCGATAGAATAAATAAAGGGGAGAGTGATCCAACATGGGAAGTGAGATACTCAGCAGACTCATAGAATGGCAGATGTCCTAAATAACACTCTGGCCTCAGAATCAGCCCTAAAGGCATTCGGATCTGGCTGAAAAGGCCATGAGAGTATTTCAGGCATAGAAAGCCAAGACACTCTGGCAAAAGATCTCTGCGAGTGAGATCCCAGTGGAAAGAACAGGTCATCAAAGAAGGAGGTACCTTTCTCTGAAGGGAGGAGAGAACCTCCACTTTGACTATGACCTTGTCTAAACAAGATAAGAGTCGGAGAACTCAGAGGGCTTCCATAGCCTTGGAAACTCATGACTGGAGCATAGGGAGATTACTGATGCCATAGACAGGAGTGTCAATTGGTAAAGTCAACAACAGGAGTTAATGTGCACTTACTCCTCATGTAGGATCTCTGTCCTTAATGTGCTGTGCATTGAGATTTAATGCTATAACGAGTACTCAAACAATATATTTCACTTTGTGTTTCTATGGGGGTGCAAACTGTTGAAATCTTTACTTAATGCATACTAAACTGATCTTCTGTAAAAAAAAAAGAAATTATCAATTCCCAACTTGACTCTCACTGGGATTAAACATGACAATAGGTCTGATCTGATTTCATCATCATTTAAAAAAATCATCTATTATTTTTCACTTTATGTTTCTGTGTGGGAGCAAACTGTTGAAATCCTTACTTAATGTATACTAAGCTGATCTTCTGTATATTAAGATAATCGAAAATGAATCTTGATGTGAATGGAAGGGGAGAGGGAGTGGGAAAGGGTAGGGTTGTGGGTGGGAGGGACGGTATGGGGGGGAAGCCATTGTAATCCATAAGTCGTACTTTGGAAATGTATATTCATTAAATAAAAGTTAAAAAAATGTTTTAGGAAGTATTCATAACTGCTATACTTTCTGTATTACTGAGTATCTGGGACCCCATGGTTTAATTACCCCTCCAGGCCTCCCCTCCGAGGGTCTCCTCACCTCGCAGTACTGTGTCCTTAGAATGGCTTCTCCCAGAACGTGAGCCTTCCTGGTGCAAGCCAAGCGCTTCAAGTTCTAAGTTCTGCTGTGGAGGAACGCTTGGGAGCAGGGCAGAGGCTGCCCGGCCCCCTCCCCTTTACCAGATGCCTGCGGCTCCCCCGAGGGCCCGGCACAGCGTTTGAGAAAGAGGCTTGAGCCCAGCGTGCCCACGCCACAAGGGCCTGAGCTTCTGAGGCTCATGGGGTCTCCCTGGGGTCTTTGCCTCTGGAGTAACCTGCTCCCTCCCTTCCTCCCCAGACCTTGTTTAAAAATCAAGCGCGCCAAGCAAAAGAAAACTGCAGTGAAAAGGGCCCATTCCCGCCAGCCCAGCCGAGTCCACACCTCAGTCTCCTCCCTCCGCCTCCTCTGCC